TTAGGAGAAGGACTACCATGCCCATTTCATACCTACAAAGACCAGGGCTCTGAAATGCAGCTGAGTGTGGACTTAGCAGTAGTTTGTTAGTAGCCCCCCAAATTCCTCTCCAACTCCTTTGCTAATAAAATCCCCAATCTTTAGCTGATCTCATACAGTATAAAGAAAATATTTGTCTTCTTTTACATCTTGGACCTGCCACATGGAAGTTTTCTATGATCTGCTAAGCACATACATAGGACTAAGTCATGGTCATCGTGATCAAAGCAGAAATGATATATGCAATTTCTAGTATGCACTCTTAAAAGAGGGAGGGTGGATGATATGTCTTTCTTCCATTCCATTTCCTTTTTCTTCTGATTGGAATATGGAGTTCCAATACTATCTTGGATTATGAGGTATCCTTGAAAATGGAAGACTTTCACAATGAATCAATGGGATAGAAGGACCCTAATTCCCAGAGAGCCTGACAGCCCTGGACTAATTATTTTTAGATGTCTCTTTTTTTTAATCTTTTTTTTGGGGGGGGGAGCAAGATTTTTTTCTCCTCGAATTTTATTTTATTTTTTAAAGATTTATTTATTATGCATACAAGAGCTGGTGTACAGGCCAGAGGTGTGAGAGGATTCACCAGAGACAGAGTCGGGAACAGAACAAGCAAATTGACTGAAGTACACTGCTGAGGGGAGCAGTGGGCAAGACAGGAGAGGTCTGCTGGGCCATGTGGGTACCTCTAATGGCTCCCTGGCCAGGGATCAAACTCGTGCTGTAGAAGCTGTGGACAGCCTCACAGGCTGCGTCTTAACCCTTGCGCCACCAGGGAGGCTCTTTAGATTTCTTAAAGGTATGAGAGAAACTATTCTATTTCAAATGGTTGTTATTTTACTTTCCTCTGTGTGTGTATCCAAACTAAATCCTATCTGAGACACAAGTAACCACTGGATTTCAGTTATTTATTTACCACAATATTTACTGGGAATTACACAAAATCTGTGTGATCATGGACAAATTATGTAATTTCTCTATGCTTCAGTCTCTTCACATGCAAATAATAGCATTAACTAGTAGAACAGCTATTAGAATTACATGATAAAAAGTATATATGTACATGATATAAAGTACAAAAAGAGCTTAGTGCAGTATCTGGCATATATTGAGGGTTCAATGAATCTTTCTGGTTTATTATTTGCTGTACTGCCCTTCAACTGACATAAAGCCGAGTCAGTTCCAGAACCAGTGATCTCTTCACCTCACCCTGCTATCAAGGGACTACCTTCCTGGGATGATCCAGGAACTACAAGCCCTATGTCATCAGTAAACTCCCAGGGAGAGCTGCTCCTCTCTTGGCATGTAATTCTCTTCCTTTGATCTTCCCACACAATCTCAATGCAGTCTTGAACATTTTAAGTCATGAAAGTTGATGCAAACTTAAAACACAATTGTCAGTGTTTATGACACAGTGGTTCTGAATTTATTTGGTCATTGACCATCTGATTATTTCTCCATTTGTGCTAAAAGTAAATAAGAAACTTGGGTAATAACCTGGAACATCTATATCTTATTACTTTCTTTTTATTTTCTTTTATGGAAATATTTAAGCATATACAAAAGTAAAAAAAATTATATAATAGAACCCTTTGTACCCATCATACAGCACCATCAACTACAATCATGTTTTATATGGAAAAACTCATATACTTTTTTAAAGAGAAAGTGAAGCTGTTTAAATACTATAACAGTTACATATATACTACTGGCATACTCATATTCGCAGTTTATAAAATTAAAAAAGTTAACTTTTCAAGTAAGCTCTGAAATAGATGCATTTTCATTAATACAGTTTCATTCACTAGTTAGGTTGACTCTTCTAAAACTTAGGAGGATTGGGCCTCCCCTGGTGGCGCAGCGGTTGAATGCTGGGCTGTGAAGCTGCCCACAGCCTCTGCAGCGCTGGTTCGATCCCCGGCTGCCGGCGAGGGTCCCACATGGCGCGACAGACCTCTCCTGTCTCGCCCGCTGCTCCCCTCAGCAGTGTATTTCACTGGTCTGCCTGTTCTGTTCCCCGCTCTGGCTCTGGTGAAATCTCTCACCCTCCCGCGCTTCTGACTGTACCCAGTGCTTGTAAAAATAAATAAATAAATCATTAAAAAAAATAAAATAAAACTTAGGAGGATCCTTAACTTCTAAGTAAATTCCAGATTTCACGTTAATTCATCCATCAGTAAATATCTCAGTGTGCAGCGCTTCAATTTTTGAAAAATAACTATCAGATTTCATCTGTACTAGAAGCAGGGCACCTGTCTGCTGAGACTTAAAGCTAATCACCAGTTTTCTTTGAAGAGACTGTCAGAGGAACTTGCATAATAATTCTATTTCCTGATTTCCTAGTAAAATGCTACACTAGTCATTTCACTTCCTGTCCCCACCTCACACCCACCCCCTTCCACACCTACTCTCACAAACCTCACCTCTTTAAGCACCAGTTGTAATTGTAAGCCTTTCTACTCAAGAGATCTGGAAATCAACAGAAAATTAAAGATTTTCCAGAATAAGAAAAATTTATGGAATATTAACATTGGAAAGAACTGTAAAGGGTAGAACTATCCCTTTCAATTTAGAGATAAGAAAATTGAAACAGGAAAGTGAGCAAATAGATTCACACAGGAACTTTCTAAATTCAGATCCAATTAATGTGACTCAGCTGCTTACAATCATGGTTTCTCATTGCCCTCAGTCTAAGGTATTAATATAATGGACCCTTCACATTCTCCAGAGGTACTGTCCTCTGGAGTCCTCACCTCTTCTCTTTCCCCATTCTCGCAGACCAGACACAGAGTGCCTTTATGATCACCTGCCTAACAATTCCTGCTTGCCCTTCAGCTCTCTGCAAAGATAACATTTCCCCAAGGAAACCATCAAAGTTCTGAAAACCAAATTAAATATAATTCCAAGCAATCCCATAGAATACTGTATATCCTCTGATACAGTGCTTAAACACGTGGCATTTCCTGTTACTTGTAGGTAGGACTTCCCATATCAGATGGTAAACTCCATGAGGGCAGGGTCATTTTGATACCAACTCTACGCCTGACAAAATGCAGACCACCTGACAAATATTTGTTAAACAAATGAATCATACCCCTGACACAGGGAAAGGTCCATGAAAAATATATGGTCAAGTGCTCTGTTTATTGTTTAGCAGCCAACAAAGGTTAACCACTGCATCTGGCAGGGGCAAAAATAGCTAATTGCTAATTCAGTAAAACAAGTCAATACAAACCCAACTTACTAGGACCCTCTAGTAGTGATTAAGACATGAGCTTCAGGGCCTCCCCGGTGGCGCAGCAGTTGAGTTCTGGGCTGCGAAGCTACCCACAGCCTCTGCAGCGCTGGTTCGATCCCCAGCTGCTGGCAAGGGTCCCACATGACACGCAGGAGCAGACCTCTCCTGCCGCGCCCGCTGCTCCCCTAAGCAGTGTACTTCGTCAGTCTGCCTGTTCTGCTCCCCGCTCAGGCCTGGTGAATTCTCTCACCCTCCCGTGCTTCTGACTGTACCCAGTGCTTGTATAAATAAATAAATAAATATTTTTTTTAAAAAAAAAAAAAAGACATGAGCTTCAGAGACAGAGACCTGGGTTTCCAGCCTGGATGTTTGAACTTGGGCAAAATATGCAATTCTTTGAGCTTTGGTTTCCTCATTTCTAAATTAAGGTAATGCCTCCACTGAATGGCTATACTTACTAAATTAGCTAGAGTAGATTTAGTATACAGTTATTCTCTTATCAATCAAGAGCAGCACTCCCTTTTTCCAGGAAATTCTCCTCCTCTTGTGGTTGGAATTAGAATTGCCATGACCCAGGGGTGGGTACCTGAAACCAAACTAGGTCAACCACGGCCCTTTCACAGGACTTTTCAATTTAAAACCACAAAGAGTAAGTCTAAGTCCTTCCCTGAGCAAAAATCACAGGCAGAGAAGCAGAGCTGCAGGAGCCAAGCTTTCTGACCTATGGAGGTAAATGCCCTAAGAGATCAATGTAGCCAAAGGGTGGGGTTGGGGTTATGGAGGATGGAGGGTTCAGGGGGTGGGGAGGGGGGGTGGAGAGGAGGGGGAAGAGAGAGAGAAAGGGTTTTTACATCCTAGGAATTCAGGAGGTTTAGTTGGTCCTCTATCCTTCCCATGATCACAAGATTCCCTTTTTCAGTACAGTTCATATAGATTAAGTCTCTGTCACTTATAATCAGAGGAATCCTACTTAATACAGTACTTTTTTCAAAAAAGTATGTATTTATTTTTGCATAGAAGAACTGGGTTGCAGGCCAGAAGTGTGGGGAGGGGTGTGTGTGAGAAGATTCACCAGAGACAGAGTGTGGAACAGAACAGGCAGACTGACTGAAATACACTGCTGAGGGGAGCAGTAGGCAGGACAGGAGAGGTCTGCTGCATCATATGTGGGTTAACTCCCTGGCAAGGTATGGAGCTCAGGCCATCGTGGTGATAGAATTGAGACTTAATCCCTAGGACACCAGGGAGGCCCATAATAACTTGTATCATCAGAGTTCAATGCACTGACATTATTATTATTATTTGCTCACATAATTGGAATATATTTGTGACCTCTGCTTCCCTGCAACACATAGAGAAAAAACGCTTAAACAAAAAGCCTTGCATCAGACATTTAGTATGAAATGTTCCCTGCTATCACTTAGAATCCCTATCCATTCAACCAAAACTTGACCTTGTTCTTCCCAGTCTCCAGGACTGAGAGAAATAAACATCAGCTGTCATTATGACATTGTGCAGGCAAAGATTTCTAAAAGGAGACCTAAAAAGCAATAATAAAGTATACTAAGGAATTTCTGCTCATAAGATGACATCATTAGGAAAATCAAAAGTAAAGCCACATGTGCAAGAAAATGTTGACAAAACATAAATCCAAAAGAGTCATATCCAGAATACAAAATCAATAAGAAATCTTCAAATCAATAGAAGAAGGCAGACAGTGCTTGCTTCAGCAGTACATATACTAAAATTGGAATGACACAGAAAAGATTAGCAAAGATGCAAGGATGTATAAAGATGACATGCAAATCTGCAAAGCATTTCATATTTTTTAAAAGATTTATTTATTTATGTATATAAGAGCTGGGGTACAGGCCAGAGGTGTGGAGATAAGAGGATTCACCAGAGACAGAGTAGGGAACAGAACAGGCTGATTGAATGAAACACACTGCTGAGGGGAACAGCAGGCGAGACAGGAGAGGTCTGCTGCACCATGTGGGTAGCTCCCTGGATGGTGATCGAACTCGCTCTGCAGTGGCTGCAGATAGCTTCACAGGGTGCACTTTGCGCCACCAGGGAGGCCCCAGCATTTCATATTTTAAAAAAAGGAAAGGAAGGAAGGAAGAAGGAAGAGGCAGTCACCCCAATATGAACGTTTGGCAAAAATTAAATCAGATCTTTCACCAAAAAAGTACATAGAAACAGCTAATAATGGCACTCAGCCTCAGAGTAATCATGGAAACTCAAATTAAAATCACAGTCCATACCACTACACACCAACCAGAACAGCAAAAATTTAAATGACTGACAGCATCTAGTGTTCATAAACAAGTAGAGCAACTAGAAATCGCATTTGCTGCTTGTGGGGGTAAAACTTGATGCAAACACTTAATCCGCCATCACTAAAGATTAGTAAACACATATCCTGTGATTTAGTAACTTCACTCGTAGGGCACAGCCAACAGAAATATGTAAAGATGTGCTTCAACAGGCATGCAAGAAAAAGTTCATAACGGTACTCTTTAGAAAACTGAGAATTACCTAAATGTCTGTCAAAAGGAAAGTGTTATATTCACTCCAGAGAATGCACATAGCAATGCAAAAGAGATACAGCTACCACATGACATGGATGGCTCTCACAGACACAGCAATGGGCAAAAGAAAATACAACAAAAGATTACACACTGAATGACTCCAATGAGTGGTGGGCGGATGGGTAGTAATTAGAAGAGGACCTTCTGGGTTACTAGCAATGTCCTCTTACTGGATTTTGATGAATTTTGAGGAAATCTGAGAACAAAGTCTATCAGTTCATCAATACACCCATTGTGTAATGTGCATACTACTATACACTGCCATCTGGTCTCTTGCCGTACTGTCATTAATTGTAATAATTTCCCATGTTAGAGTTATGCTTCTTTTTTTTTTTTAATTTATTTTATTTTTTTTATAGAGGCATGTTTTTTTTATTTGTTTGTTTGTTTGTTTTGTTTATACATGCACTGGGTACAGTCAGAAGCGCGGGAGGGTGAGAGAATCCACCAGAGCCAGAGCGGGGAGCAGAGCAGGCAGAAGGACCGAAGTACACTGCTGAGGGGAGCAGCGGGCGGCAGGAGAGGTCTGCACGCCATGTGGGACCCTCCTCCGGTGGCCGGGGAGCAGCCGGGGATCGAACCGGTGCCGCAGAGGCCGCGGGCAGCTTCGCAACCCAGCGCTCAACCGCTGCGCCACCGGGGAGGCCCCAGAGTTATGCTTCTTGATTGTGTTTTCCTTCAACTTTTTAACCCTTTCTTATGAATTCAGATGAAACCAGCAACAAATTTCATAAGATTAAAACAGAATCAAGAAGGCTAAAATCTAACTGAGTTACAACAGCAAATCACCTAAATACCCTGGATTTGACAGCATGCACCTCTAAATGACATAGTGAGGACTGAATACATTTAAATCCCCAGGCCCCACTTCATGCAACTGGAAAAGTGCCATTTGACCAACCCCAGTGGAAGACTAGGTATTCATTATAGAGAGAGAGTAGGAACTGGCTCATTGGATGGAGGAACACCAGGCAGAGTTTAAGGCCAAGTTGTTAAAATAAGTGCTGACCTTCAAAATGCAAAGAACCCCGCCATTTTTCCCAGCACATCACAGCACTGAATGGCAGAGCAAAAGGAAGCAGACAATTGCAAAAGTACTTATTCTTCATTCATTCTATATGAAGCTTAATAAAATGAGCCTGTTCCCCAAAGACTAGAAAAGATAAAATAAAAAAAAAGAAGAAATATATTGCAATCTGAAAAAAACACTCCTTGAGAGTCAGAGAAGAATATCTAAAGAAGAGGTAGAACAGTGAGGTCGAAATGCACTACAATAGTATCATTATTTCACCTATAGGTCCACAAATCACAGACCTGTCATGTCAAATTTAAATATTTTGCATATAAGCTCATCTCCTCTTCATTTTTTTTACATTGCACTCTCCTTTGCTTGCAAAGCAAAGCAAATGGGCTTTTTTTAAAAATAGGCTTTTCATGTCCTTGAAGATTATTTTCAGGTAAATCTACCATCATAAATATCTGATTGTAAGTCCACCAGTAATCCACATTTTCATAGGGGTCAGAAATCATTTAAAGATAATAATTCTCGGGACATAATGTTCAGGTGGGCATTACCTCTCACAATGTGACAGCTTCTGCTTTTATGTGGAGAGTTAAAACAACAAAGATGACATAAATCGTGGGTTCATAAAAATCTATGTTGGTATCTTGGATCTACCATCTATTTACTAGCTGCCTGACTTGAAGATTATTTCCTGATTCTGATCCTCAAAGTCTTCATTAATAAAAAGCCTATATAAAATACCTACCTCTCTGGAAAATGTTAATTTCCCATGAGGTAATATATACTTAACACTTAGCATAATGCTAGTACATAATAAAAGGTAAGCAGTAATTTTATTGTTTCTTAAATGTAGGGATTACCCCTATATTGAAGAATTTAAATTATATGCATCACCTCACTAGAATTATATCAAGTCCAACACATTCTGCCCATCACTTCTGTCACGGTTTTCTACATTTATCAAACAAAATGAAAGTGATGACCCATGGATTTTTCAATCCTTTCTGTAGATGAGCAAAAAGAAAACAAACAAAAATAGATGACCCCTGTTTTATATAATTTAGAATCCTGTTATTCTAATGGCTAATACAGAATACTAATAAACAGAACCAAAATTATGTTCTGGTTGTACCAGAGAAGAATACATACACAGGTAGCCTCCCTGGTGGCACAAAGGGTTAAGTCACAGTAGTATGAAGTTACCCGCAGGCCACTGAAGCACAAGTTTGATTCCTGGCCAGGGAGCTGACCCACATGGCGCAGCAGACCTCTCCTGTCTCGCCCACTGCTCTTCTCAGCAGTACATTTCAGGAGATTGCCTGTTTTGTTCCCCACTCTATCTCTGGTAAATGCTCTCACCTCCCCTGCCACACCTCTGAACTGTACCCTGGCTCTTGTATGCATAAATAAATAAATCTTTACCAAAAAAAAAAAAAAAGAACACATACACAGACATAAGCGTACACGCAGAGGCATGCACACAAACATACAGCTTGGCTTGGAACTGGTAGCATATCATTAAGTCATCTTGGATTCAGTTTACTTCCTCAAAGGCTAGATTGGGAGCTTCCAACAATCTGTTCTTTCTCCTAGGATATATAAAATATCCTCATCACACCCTCAGCTGGACAAGTCCCATAGAAATAGGAAGGGGTGGGGAGATACCTCCCACTGTTTTTTTTCCCTCTCCTCCCAATGTGGTTCCTTCTCTTAAGAGCCCTCTCCTTCCCAGATTTTCCCATTTACCTCACAGAAGCAGGAGTCACAGCTGGGTTCAATCTCTGCACCACCCCCCACACCCCCAGTTTGGGAAAAGTATTCTAAATTTAAACCACACAGCACCAAACTAAAAATGGCCTAGAAAAAGGAACAAATGTACCTTGCACTGGGCTCTTGTTAGATTTCACAGGCACGAATTACCCTTTTTCTGTGCCTCTGTAGTCAAATGATTCTTAGGTGATAAAATAACCATCTCCATGTCTGCATGAGATAAAAGTGTCTGTTTTTAGATGATCAGGGAGGAGATTGAGGAGGGCAGAAAAAGAGTAAAGTGCTGACTCATGCAAGATGCATTTGGGGTTCTGAGAATGTCACCCAGCTCTAATGCTAGTGCACACTGGATTTTGCCTCATCCCCTCTGAATTAACCAGTTAGAATAGCGAGACAGAAGAAGTCAGAAGCCTGAGTGCTTGTCCCTGATATCTGAGACACTCCCTCAACCCCAAGAAATTTCCCTTTGCAAGCTTCAGTTTCTGCATCCCTAGTCGTTTTTGAGCATGGAGGTTGAACTTGATCAAGCTTTTATGTCCTTGGTCCTTTTTTATTTATTTAACATTAAAACATTAGTTCTTTTTCAAATTTTTTATTGGCATGTAACAGAATACTAAAAAGTCATCAAATCATATTTTTGGTTCAGTGAGTTTTCACAAACTAAATGTACCTAGAAAAAGAGCAGCAGAAAATAAAGTTGCAGCATCTCTGATTGCCAGCATCCCCAAACCCTTTGCTCAGTGCATCTCTGAATACTAGAATGGGAGTAGGGAAACACTACTTCTGTCTGAAGAGAGAGAAAAATAAGTACCAGATGGTTTGTTTTATTTTAATAGAAAATTTAAGGAAACATGAAGAACATTCTACAATGGAATAATGCACTGGTTACTTGATCACTCTTTAGCTCTATGTCACATTTAAATAGAGCTATTTATTACACTCAAATGGATCCCAGAACTGCCCTAATATATATATGAAAAGAGAGGAGAGCCTGGTGCATAAGTGCTCAAAAAATATGAAATAAATGAGTGAATGAACAGAACTTGTATTTAAGAGTCTGGGGACATAGGCAGTGACAGAGGAAGCTCCAGGGTGAGGCCAATAGATTTTTTTTTTACTGAAAAAAGAAAATCTACTCAGCTATGGTAAAAGATTGGGGTCAAGTTTTCTAAGACTTTCTGTAACTCAATCATCCAAATTATTTTGAACTAAGAGGCAAATGTTGACAATTCCAAATCATAAAATCACAAAATATTAAAGATTTGGGTAGAGGATCAGACTCAGGAAACGAATACATGTCCCCTGGGCAGAGCAAGACAAATTTGTAAGCATTTCAGAGAAAGCATGGGGGGGAAAGAGACTGATACATTTAAAATAAGAAAGAAAAAGCAACTAGAAATCAATTGCATGTACTCTTTATTATTTATATAAGACGTTTAAAATG